AACGTGGTATTTAATTGGGTGTCCGAAAGTATTACCAACAGAGCACACTGCACGGAATGCGTCCGGAGATATATTGAAACTTGTGGGAATGATAAAATGCTCTGTTAAATTCCGAGGTAATTACTTTACAGGAAATTGCTACTTAACGAACAGACATGAGTTAGACCTTATTGGTATAGACTGGATAGATAAACTAAATTTATGGGATGTACCATTAAATGAAATATGCACAATGAAAGGCGCAAATAATCCTAGAGATCCACCCGCAGTTCATGTAACCAAGAAAGTCGTAACGATAGAAGATCTTTTGCAGAAACATAAAAACTTGTTCCAGAATAAATTGGGATGCTGCACAATTGAGAAGGCAAAATTATACCTACGACAGGATGTAAAACCTGTTTTCCGTCCAAAGCGTCAAGTTCCATATGCAGCTATTGACAAAGTCGACAAAGAATTAGACCGACTAGAGAAACTCGGTGTTATACAACCTGTTAATTATTCGGCATGGGCAGCACCAATTGTAGTAGTTCAGAAAGCGAGCGGAGCTATTCGCCTTTGTGCAGACTTTTCAACAGGATTAAATGACGTTTTACAAAATCATTCATATCCATTACCTTTGCCAGAGGATTTATTTATTAAACTAAACGGTGGACGTTATTTTTCTAAACTTGATTTGTCTGAAGCTTACTTACAGGTGGAAGTTGACGAAGATTCAAAGGAGTTATTAACCATTAATACCCACCGTGGACTTTATCGATTTAACCGATTACCGTTTGGTGTTAAGCCAGCTCCAGCAATTTTCCAGCAGATAATGGATACTATGGTGTCTAACATCGAAGGTGTAGCAGTTTATTTGGATGATATTATAGTTGTTGGCTCTTCCGCGCAGGAATTAATGCGTCGGTTAGATGTGGTGCTCACTAAAATATCACAAGCTGGGTTTCAGTTACAAAAAGAAAAGTGTGAATTTCTGCTCGAGTCTGTTAAATACCTGGGATATATATTTGATAAAGATGGTCGTCGACCGGATCCAGACAATATAAATGCTATCAAAAATATGCCCAGACCGACTGAGGTTACAACCCTTCGTTCATTCTTGGGGATGATTGGTTATTATAGTATGTTCGTACCCCAGATGTATAAATTGCGACAACCATTAAATCAACTCTTGATGGCTAATACAACATGGCACTGGACAAAAGAATGCCAAGATTCTTTCGATGAAATAAAAAGGATTTTATCTTCTAAACTGTTGCTGACTCATTATAATCCAAAGCTTGAAATAATTGTAGCCGCCGATGCTTCAAACTATGGAATTGGAGCCGTTATCAGTCATCGTTTTCCTGATGGTAAAGAAAAGCCAATTGCTCATGCATCCCGAACTCTTAACTCAGCCGAACGAAAATATAGTCAGATTGAGAAGGAAGGATTAGCTTTAGTTTTTGCAGTAAAGAAATTTCATAAAATGATTTATGGTCGTCGATTTACGCTTTTAACAGACCACAAGCCGCTTTTATCTATATTTGGATCAAAGTCAGGTATTCCTGCTTATACAGCGAATCGGTTACAACGCTGGGCTATTACGTTGCTTGCTTATGATTTCCAAATCCTATATAAATCAACTGAAAAGTTTGGACAAGCTGATGCTTTATCTCGATTAATTGCTAATCAGAAGCAGAAAGTGAAGATTCTATTATCGCAACGATATCGTTGGAAATGATATTCACCATATACTACAAGTTGCCATAAAAGCAACACCATTATCCTCTGAAGATATTAACGCTATACTCAAGAAGATGATGAATTGAAGCAGATTATTAGATACCTCGAACATGGTTGGCCTGCCCATATAGACGACAAAAATATTGAACAGTATTCCCACCGTCGGAATTCCCTATCACTTGTGGATGGATGCTTGATGTTTGGGAATCGAGTAATCGTACCCACAAATTTACGCCGTAAGGTGATGTCACAACTGCATGCCGCACACCCAGGGGTAGCAAGGATGAAGGCACTTGCACGTGGATATGTATATTGGCCGAATATTGACGCTCAGATCAAAGAATATGTTGAGACATGTTCTGCGTGTGCAAAAGCTATCAAAGCCCCTCGTAAGACAGAAATGCAGAGTTGGGGGACACCAACAAATCCATGGTCAAGAGTACACGTAGATTTCGCCGGTCCCATAAACGGAAAACAGTACTTAGTGATGGTTGATGCTTTCTCAAAATGGCCAGAAATCCACTACGTAAAGTCTCTTTCTACAAAAGCTACTATTGAAAAACTGAGACAAGTATTTAGCTGTTTTGGGTGTCCAGATGTATTAGTATCTGATAATGGGCCACAGTTCACCTCCGCTGAATTCTCGAAGTTCTGCGTCGCCAACGCTGTTAGGCATATAAAGACACCCCCATATCATCCACAGTCAAACGGTCTAGTCGAGAGGTTCGTAGATACATTTAAAAGAGCACTACTTAAAGCCGAGGGAGAAGGTGAAATAGACGAGATGATTCAAAGATTTCTACAAACATACCGAGCAACACCAAACCCAACAACAAATAATCAAGAAAGCCCAGCAGAAGCAATTTTTGGGAGAAAGATTAGAATACCTATGGAGCAAATGAAACCAAAGCTTAGAGCCAACCTCCGAAAGAACAAACGAATGGAACAGCAATTCAACAAGCGGCACGGTGCATTGCCCAGAAGGTTTAAGGTGGGACAAGCGGTAATAACAAGAGATTTCACGGGAGTAAAGCCAACTTGGAAGTTTGGCATAATAATACGAAAAAAAGGGAAAGTTATCTACGAAGTAAAAGTTGGACAAAAGATATGGGTGAGACATGCAAACCAGATACAGCCAACCAGACAAGAACGAGAGACAGAAAATGCTACAAAGTCGAATATACCAATAAATATATTAACTGAGTCGAATAATGAAATTAAAAATGATCCGAATAATAACGAGACGTGTGAAACACTCCCAAGGAGGTCGCAGCGCATCAGACGAAAACCCAATCGAATAAAAATAAATCCTAAGGATCATTATTATCTCTAATGCTTCAAAAAAGGGGAGGTGTTATATCCGGTGAAGATTAAATTACAGGTAATTCCAAGGACTATTCATGGACTAATATTCTTATTGTATAACTATTCAACAATTACATTATGTATATTTATATTCCTCTTATGACAAGCTTTATTTTGACCTATAATTTATTATTGTACGATTTACGGTTCTTAAGTTATGTTCAGTTTATTAACTACTGCCTCCCACATTCACAGCCACTTTTTGGGCTTATTTGTGTACAAATATTATTTCCTATTTTATGGTACGTTGCGGTCTGTGTGATTGATATATAAACCAAGTATGCCTGAAATAAACGATTCGATTCATATTCGGAAGTCGGTATTGTGTTCTGGACTCAAGTGGAAGGGCTCGTAGGACATAGGACCAATAAGGACGCTAAACTGCCCACACCGGTTGAACGTCATTGGTTGGCCTAGTGTGAAGATTCGTATAAGTCGTATTCGGATTGGTAGATAAATCGTGTGATAGAAAAGCCAGACATTCAAGGTCATAACACATATAATAATAACTATAATTAAGACTAGATTTAGATTAGAACTGTTTTACTAAATGTTTAGGTCAAAGTGTATAGCATTAATTCTTTGCGATAGCTTCGTCTCTGACTTTTTCATCATTACTTACAGCTTGATCGGATATATATTAATCTTTGGACTGTAATAGACAGAATAGGCGCATATAGTATTGTATTTCGATAAGTTTTTGTCAACTTAAGTCAGTAGTAATACACTAGATGTTCATATGTTGATAGTTTTTTGTATTTCATCTAGCATCCTTATAAGAAATGTCATGGTTTCTTTTTAGATAACTGACTAATATTCTCCATTAAATTCATAATGAGTTAAGTCAAAGTTTTCATATCAATTTTAATTTATTTATGTATGTAAGAACAAAATGAATGTTATATTTGCGTGTTTCGTATTTCCATCCTGTTATAGATATTTTACACTGCATATATCATGATATATATATATATATCTACTGTACGAAGCTGAAACTTCGAGTACTACAACCAGACTGTGGAATAACCTACCACAATCTATCTGTAAGATAAAATTACTCCCATCCTTTGTTCGCTGCGTCGATGCATAACTGCTCCTCTGAAAATGCATGGAATCTAGCGCAGGTATCTTATTCCAGAAGTGAGATTATAAAATTTTAAATATTTAGACATTCGTATTACTGAATTCACTAAGTAAAACCACCTACCTGCTGTTACTCTACGTTAACACCGTCCGCGGGGATTCTAACTAATTTGAATAATACCTAAAATGAACAGTATATCACTGAGACACATGACATACCCATTATGGAAGACCTGACTAACATATTTTGGTAATTATTGCTGTGTTGTTCCGTGCTATCTGTTTCCATTTTACTTTCTCTAGTTGTAGATGATTGTAATTAATTCGTTATGACGCAGGAAATGACCTAAAATGCACCGTTCATAAATCAACAACATGTCCACTTAAGAAGAATTAAAAGTTCCCGGCCGATGCATTTCATTGCTTCAATACATGTCATAAATGTACTACCTAAACAATTGTTGAACTAGTACACTTAAAACAATTTCATATCACATGTTTGTCTTCTACATTCAATGTTACTACTTACATCAAGCTGATCACGCCTGTAAACTGGCGTGAATTCTATAATTATATTCAGTATATATATACTATCATCATTAAAATAAAAGTATGTACTTTATGTCAAGTATACGTTAAACCAACAAATTCAAAGAGTACATACATATTTAATGAATTGATAAAAAACGGTATATATCAACTTCTTAGTTTTAAATATGTGCCACGATTCCCAGCTTTAAAGTCACGGACAGATTCCTGAGAAAGCAAAAGGTGTGGCTAAGACAAGTTAATAAATAAAATAAGGGTATCAATAAAGAAATATGTTTTACCTCATCTCCCTCGTGATCGTCTAATTCACTCTCATCTTGTGCTTCTTCGTCTGGATCATCTTCTTCATCGGAGGAGCCCATATTAATAGCTTTTCGTTTACGCCTTTTAACACCACGTCTCATTTTTGTAACAATAGCAGCTGCACGCTGCTTCTTTTTAGCAAGGCGAGTGCGTTCGGACGTCTTTAGTAAACCACCTTTAGATCCACCTTTATTACGATCATCAGGATCTTCAAACAAGAGACTTTTCCCTTTACTAGAACTTGGGCCTTCTTCTGCTTTGAGTGGGTCGGCGTTCGGATTTTTCAAGCGATTATCATCACCCAAATCATCTTCATCATCGTCATCATCAGCCTCACTACCACTGTCCAATTCTTCCAAATCAGTAAGCTTTAAAGTGTTTTCAGGATTTAGATCCTTAGTTTTTACTTCTGTTGAATTTCGCTGATTTGAATTGGAGTCTCCGAGGGAAGTTAGGAACCTAAAAGCAGAATGAAGTGAGTGAAAACAATAAAACCGGAATTCATGTCTGCTTTGAAAGTGTTAGGGTTCTGAATCTAGATTATTGTTCCAAAATATTCTTACTACAAAGCTTTTGAGTTAGTTGGGTAACAAAAAAAGTCATATCTACACTGATTCTCTGATGAACACATGTTAGAATGAGTACCGAGAAATACAAAATTTTGTTACTTAATGAGTTGAAATGAAATGCATAAAAAAAACAGTAATCTGAAATTCTGAGTTCTAATGAATAAGTTAATCAAAAGATCCGATTTACTAGAAAAGTTTAGCTCGTTTTAATGGGGATTTATGCTCCTAATGTAAAGAATTGTTATATAGATAATCGGACCTACTTTAATCCCTTCGAAATTTCTCGATCCATGTTTGTTTCATCGTCACTAACGTTATCGGTGAGTTTCCGTTTAACCATAACGTTAAATAAGTTGAGGGTTTTGTGTAGGCGGCTATATTCTGCTTCAGCTTCATCTTCTCGAAGAAAACGATAACTTATTTCCGGTTTCATCTTGTACCTATTTATAAATCGAAAATAACAAAAAGAATATTTGCAAGTGTATTAGGTAATTTGGAAAAAAGATTGCAGTATCATTGAGGTGATGCGTCATACTAAAAGACAATATTTTGTTAACGGGGTAGCAAAAATTCAAAAATATGCAATATTCTTAACGGTAAATGGAAACGGTTTATAATTTGGTGTAGTAGAAATGATAGTCAATATGGTTAAGCAAACATGACAATAATATTTTTACCGGTTGCGAAATTCATATAACTTTGCTTCACTGAATATCTAGAGCTTATCTGGTGTTATGTACTGACTGTTCTAAAGCGTTTAGGCACTGAGAAAAAACCCATTATGTATTGAAAACGCCGTTAACTGGAATACAATTTTTGATGAGTAACTGTAAAGGATTCTACAGTTAGAGTAAGATGTATTATCAAAAGGAATTGAGAAAATGTATCATGACTTTTTCAATATATAGCGAAAGTTTGACTGACATTACGATCTAGAAAGGGAACCTTATCATGAACAGAAATGTGTGAAAGTTGGACTGGTGAACATCTTAAACTCTTTTGGTCAAGGTAATTACAGGATTTGTAAAATCACCTTCAAAGAAAAGCATGTAACTGAGACATCAGTTTAGTACGAATCATTGATGTAACACACTAAAATATAGATTAAGATGAGGTACGCGATACAATGGTCGTCCATTGATTAAACCACAATCCAAAAATAACACAGTGAGAGGAAAATGCCTATTTCACGATAAAACTACTGAAATAAAGTGGAAAACACTAACCATACCCTGGTTTAATCATACTGCTGTTACCTGAAACCTCAGTGTGAAAAATGCATCACATCAATACCTAGTTTGAACATCTAACCAAACGATTTACAATCCAATGAACTAGTATCATTCAAAGCGAGGTGGGATTGTAGTGACTTGTCCTATGTCGAGCCCACATAGCTTATTCTAGCTTCTGGACAAACCAGTTTCTTCGATCGTTTGTGTCTGGATCAACAACTGTATGAAATATATGTATTCGAAATTCGTTCTCGTATTTAACTTACTTAGTTCCGTTTTTCACTAACGCGAATCAAGTTGATAACTATATACGAGGATTGACGATACATATCTTTCATTAACAATCATTCATCCGATCTAACTAGAGTCAGATATACAGGGCCACTAAAGGATCATAAAGCATAGAACACTACGGATTTTTGAATGTGGTGTAATAAGAACTCACTGAGTGGTCACCATAATGTTTTATTTAGTTTATGCGCAGTGAAGCGTCTAAAGAAAGATAAAACTTTATATGTAGGTTTGAAGACTATTACTATGAAGTGATCACGCTTTTAACAAACTTTCGGGGCCACGCGAATATTTCCATTTGGAAATTAACGTGTAAATTTCATATTGAAATCAGTAAAGTGTAGGACGCAGTGATCGGCTGGGTAGACAGTAAATGGCGATATAGAACCAAAAAGCTACTTACCAAGCATTTACCGGATAAGCATCGAAATTACCATCTTTGCACTGGCAAAATACAAAATATTCGACATTCTCTGACACACTACCTTCTCGAACTCCTCTAAAACGACGGCGATTAGCCTTGCCTTTTTCAACCGTCATTAGCCAAGGTTGATCATCTGGCTTATAACTTTCTCGTACAACACCAAATTTTTTTAATCTTGCCTCTTCTTTAGCTTCGCGACCGAATTCACTACCAGCACCAGTGTCTGGCATTTCGGTTGTATTGTATAAACTCCGATAAGCCTTAAGATTATTTTCACGTTGCATAAAAACTTCAGGGGCTGATGATAAATCAAGCCTGTCAGCTGCATGGAAACGCAATACACTAAATCTTTTGTCCTTCTTGTTTGGAACTCTAACCTAAAATATGAAGACACAACTGTGTTATTTATAGGCAAATAAGATCAATTAAAATCTCAGGAGGTACAAAATCCTTAGTTTGATCGATTTATGATTTATTGATTTTAGTATTTTCATATAAGCTAATAAACTCCGCCTGGAGTCCCTCCGGGGGCTACTGCCGGTCCCAAGCCCGGATAAAGGAGGAGGGTTGGGCATGGGGTTAGCGTCCCCATCCCGTAGAAAACTAACTCGCTAAAAAAACGCTAACCAGAAAAAATTATTCAAACCTTTTAAACTCTGCCCTGGGAGTCAGAAGGTCTTCATTTAGAAGAATTATGACGCCTCATGATGAAAGCCGAATTCCTTCGGAAGTTACGAGGCCGATGCCCCTTCTGACAACCAGAGCGACCATTTATTTAGGTACATGGAATGTTCGTACAATGTGGGACACCGGAAGAGCCTTCCAAATTGCTGCAGAAATGAGAAGATACAACCTAGAGGTACTTGGGATCAGTGAAACACATTGGACACAAGTTGGACAACAACGACTAACTACAGGAGAGCTCCTGTTATACTCCGGCCATGAAGAAGAAAATGCACCACATACACAAGGAGTTGCATTGATGCTGTCCAAACAAGCGCAAAATGCACTTATAGGATGGGAATCTCATGGACCAAGGATCATCAAAGCCTCGTTCAAAACAAAGAAAGAGGGCATTTCAATGAACATCATCCAATGCTATGCGCCTACCAACGACTACAATGAAGACGCTAAAGATCAATTCTACAATAGGCTGCAGTCAATCGTCGAGAAGTGCCCAACAAAGGACCTGACCATTCTGATGGGAGATTTCAACGCCAAGGTTGGAACGGACAACACTGGATATGAAGACATCATGGGACGACACGGACTGGGAGAAAGAAACGAAAATGGTGAGAGATTTGCAAATCTATGTGCCTTCAATAAGCTGGTCATAGGCGGCACCATATTCCCACATAAACGCATACACAAAACCACATGGACTTCACCGGATCACTCTACACAAAACCAAATCGACCATATTTGCATCAACAAAACGTTCAGGAGGACTATAGAGGACGTGAGAACCAAGAGAGGAGCTGATATAGCATCAGATCATCACTTGCTGGTCGCCAAGATGAAATTGAAACTCAAGAAGCACTGGACAACGGGGCGGACAATATCACAAAAGTTCAATACGGCCTTTCTCCAGGATACTAACAAACTCAACAAATTCAAGATAGTCCTCAGCAACAAGTTCCAGGCCTTTCATGATCTACTCAATGGAGAAGGAACTACTGTGGAGAGCAACTGGAAGGGGATCAAAGAGGCAATCACTTCAACATGTCATGAGGTCCTGGGTCACAAGAAGCACCATCACAAGGAATGGATCACTGTTGATACACTGGATAAGATTCAAGAAAGAAGGAACAAGAAGGCAGCAATCAATACCAGTCGAACAAGAGCAGAAAAAGCCAAGGCACAAGCTGAATACACGGAAATAAACAAACAAGTGAAGAGGAGCATCAGAACCGACAAACGTAAATATGTGGAAGATTTAGCAACGACGGCGGAAAAGGCTGCAAGAGAAGGAAACATGAGACAATTGTATGACACGACAAAGAAACTCTCTGGAAATCGCCGCAAACCAGAACGACCAGTGAAAAGCAAGGAAGGCAAGGTAATCACCAACATTGAAGAGCAACAAAACAGGTGGGTAGAACACTTCAAAGAACTCTTGAATCGACCAGCTCCACTGAACCCACCCAACATCGAAGCAGCACCCACGGACCTCCCAATCAATGTTGGCCCACCAACAATTGAAGAAATCAGCATGGCCATCAGACAAATCAAGAGTGGCAAAGCAGCAGGACCGGACAACATCCAGCAGAGGCACTAAAAGCAGACGTAGCGGCAACTGCAAGGATACTCCACATTCTCTTCAATAAGATTTGGGATGAGGAACAAGTACCAACAGACTGGAAAGAAGGACTTCTGATCAAAATACCGAAGAAAGGCGATCTCAGCAAGTGTGATAACTACAGGGGCATCACTCTTCTCTCAATACCGGGAAAAGTCTTCAACAGGGTATTGTTAAACAGGATGAAGGACTGCGTAGACGCCCAACTTCGTGACCAACAGGCAGGATTCCGTAAGGATAGATCGTGTACAGACCAAATCGCAACTCTACGGATCATTGTGGAACAATCAATTGAATGGAATTCATCACTCTACATCAACTTCATTGACTACGAAAAGGCATTTGATAGCGTGGACAGAACAACACTATGGAAACTTCTTCGACACTACGGCGTGCCTCAGAAGATAGTCAATATCATACAGAACTCATATGATGGATTACACTGCAAAATCGTGCATGGAGGACAGTTGACAAAGTCGTTCGAAGTGAAGACCGGTGTTAGGCAAGGTTGCTTACTCTCACCCTTTCTCTTTCTCCTGGTGATCGACTGGATCATGAAGACGTCAACGTCTGAAGGGAAGCACGGGATACAATGGACATCTAAGATGCAGTTGGATGATCTAGACTTCGCAGACGATCTGGCCCTTCTATCCCAAACGCAACAACAGATGCAGGAGAAGACGACCAGTGTGGCAGCAGCCTCAGCAGCAGTAGGTCTCAATATACACAAAGGGAAAAGCAGGATTCTCCGATACAACACAGAATGCACCAATCCAATCACAATTGACGGAGAAGATTTGGAAGATGTAAAAACCTTTACGTATTTGGGCAGCATCATTGATGAACAGGGTGGATCTGATGCAGATGTGAAGGCGCGGATCGGCAAAGCAAGAGCAGCATATTTACAACTGAGGAACATCTGGAACTCAAAGCAACTGTCAACCAACACCAAGGTCAGGATTTTCAATACAAATGTCAAGACAGTTCTACTGTATGGGGCAGAAACCTGGAGAACTACAAAAGCCATCATCCAGAAAATACAGGTGTTTATTAACAATTGTCTACGCAAAATACTTCAGATCCATTGGCCGGACACTATTAGCAACAACGTACTGTGGGAGAGAACAAACCAGATCCCAGCGGAGGAAGAAATCAGGAAGAAGCGCTGGAAGTGGATAGGACACACATTGAGGAAAGCACCCAACTGCGTCACAAGACAAGCCCTCACATGGAATCCTGAAGGTCAAAGGAAAAGAGGAAGACCAAAGAACACATTACGCCGAGAAATGGAGATAGACATGAGAAAAATGAACAAGAATTGGATGGAACTAGAAAAGAAGGCCCAGGACAGAGTGGGTTGGAGAATGCTGGTCAGCGGCCTATGCTCCATTGGGAGTAACAGGCGTAAGTAAGTAAGTAAGTAAGTAATAAAAGTACTAGTTTTAATAGAACTTTACAATCTCTTGCACTTATCCGTGACTAGTTTTTTGAGTGATACAAAGACGGTTTATTTCGATTTAGAGAGTTAAATGATATGAATAATAGAAATTGTTTGCTAATTTCCATATGACATTTTTGTCAAAACTAATTATTAAACGATCAATAATTCCAACAATCTCCACAAAACCCCTTCTGATACTGATCAATAACTTCCTTTAGTATATAACTGTTTTCTTCTATCACACAAACTTAGCATTTAACGTTTTGTCATTTCAGACAACTTCTGAATTAACTTGATTTATATATGGTCTATACAGAAAAAATGTTTGTGAGGTTGATTGAACCTACGTACTCAATCAGTTTTTAACTAGTGATTCACCTGTCTAAACCTGCTCCGCTATTGTTTGAAATACTAAGTAGTATAGCACGTTGTTACAAAGTATGAGGATGACTACTCAGAAAGACATGTGTATGGCTAATGAACTGTAGTGCATCTTGAAGATTTTGTTTTAAATTTGAAACGTTATAATTTAAACGACTGTACAGTTACAATCTGATCACTGCTAGAATAATTGCCAGTTAACTGTTGTGTTGACCATACAGTTCTCCCTTGTGCAGATAATTTTCATTTATTGTCAACAGTAATAAAGTTAATTTCAAATCGTCCTTATAAATTTACTTCTACAACTACAGTGAATTAGACTGACTAAAAGTGTTTAGTTAATATAAGGTATCTTAAAAAGCCCAATTAAGACTTTGGTAAATATCATACCTGCATCTCTCTGATAACATTACGTTGAGACGTTTGTTTCTCATCAATGGTTTTGAGTTTCTCAGAGACATCATTAAGTGCAGTACTTCCTGACTGAACATTTTGAGGACGAACAGAATGAGTAATGAGGTTGCTCGCCCTTGCAGAGGATGACACCGCAGTATTTCGTAGTTGAGTTGGTATGGAATTTGAACGAGATACATTTGATGTGGATTGAATCGAGGATATTTTTAAGGGAACAATAGGAGTGATTTTTAGACCTGTTGAAGAAGCTGCAGTAGTTACATTTATTGGAGTGGAAGCATTGCCAATTGGTCGAATCACAACAACAGAGCCAGTCGAAACAACTGAATCTCGAGGAGGGGTAGTAATAAAGTTATGAGTTGGGCGAGTGTACTGAATTCCTTTATGGGGAGTTAAACGTGACACAACCGTTATGTTCTGAGCTTCAGAAACTTCTGTTATTTGAGGTGCGACCTTCTCCACTCTGTCACAAAAGAATTAAGTAAATTCAATTACTGAAAATTCAAAAAGGAAGCTACGAGATGTGTTACAGTTTGTATAGATGATCTTTGAAAAATATAGGTAGGGTTATGGATAGTTAATATTAAATTGAAGAAATTTGAGCTAAACCTCTTAATTTATTATTCAGAACTATAATTTAGTCAGTGAGTCAAACCCAACGTAGAACGTGGCACATGTGTACATTGGTTCAGCTTGCCATACCGCATCAGTATAGTGAGACGAAATTGTCGGGGTAAATTCCAGAGTGGTAGTAGTAATAGTAGAAAAGACTGTGTCCAAAGAACGATTCGAGAAGATATAAATCAGTGACAAAAAATATTTACGGGGAATTTAGAGACCTAGAAACTAAGTGAATGCGCCTATGTGTCATTGCGAACGACCTTGGGCTGTTATTTAATCTCTAATCATTGGTTAACGTAATCATGCGAAACCCAACCAAGTCGTGTGCACCTACCTACACGGATCAGTCCAACAGCCAGTGTCTTCATGTACTGATGTCACGTCTTGCTTTGGCCGCCAGAAAGTCTGAACATTGTTGCAGTAGCCAGTCGCCATCCTCTGTTTGCTGAGCTGAGATGATGTAAGACTTACCTCAGTGTCTTTCACTTTCGTTTAACCTACCTAAATAAGCGTGAGTCTCCTGCTACGATTACTACTTCTGTAGGAGAGCAGAGAGATTCCCATAAAACCCATTCTTTACTTCTTCCGAACTGCGGTCAGTGCGAGCGTAGAGGGATACGACAGTGCATGTTCCCATCTTTCCGTGTTCTCGCTTCTGCATGTCGTCGAATAGAGCAAAGGCGACTATCTGTTGGGATTCAATTCATGAAAGCCTATCCCACGTTTGAACTTAATGGTATGCTAACACCATCAAGGCAACGAGAGGTGGCATTCAAGTCTTTGGATACACGGAGAGTAAATCGTGCGGTTTCTATGTATTGACTAGATAAAGTTAAGTGGATGGTCACACTTGGATCCTGCAGGATGTGTCAGAGACAATATACATTGATGATGACAGATTCTAGAATCCTAGCTAAGAGAGCCTGTCGGGTTATTTAATATCAGGTCTGAACACTAAGACCCCTAACGTGTAGTTTACAGAGAGGTTTCAAGAGACTGGAAATAGCCTCGCAAACTCGAATAGTCAGCAATGATGATGGATATGAATGAAGTAATAGGAGAGAGGTTGGTGGTGGGGATAAAAAGAATAGCGTGAAGTGAAGAGGGGATTTGACCGTGAAAAGATTTCTAGTGATATTAGAGGTATGAGGGGGTTTGTCACTTCCTGCTTGCCACAAAGTGCAAGTTAAGCTAGATAGAAAGGCAGCTGATATTGCAATGTTTATCAATATAACCTCGGGAACCAAAGAACTTTTAATTATATTCACTGAATGAGACCCATTCAGTTAGGTGGTTTAGTTTAAGTATGAAAAAAAGCGAGAGCTAAAATTTTGTAATAATAATCGCTCTATTTGATGGTGGGAAACATACAGATAAAAAACAACGTAAAAATCAAAAAAAAATATTATTGATTTACAGCATTCTTAGTTGAAATGTCAGTGTGAAGGCTTTCAAACACATTAATCACATTATTGAAGCACACTGTATCTACATGTTACATAACATGTACTTTTCCTCTAAGGTCAGCGCACATAAAAGTTTATATTGTAGAGCGAAAAATAGCATTATAGGGCAGTAAGTGAATTTTGGTTGTTCAGTTCCGTCAGTCAGCTACAACGTAGGACCAGCCAAATATATGCATCGGTACAAGTTGCCATACCTCATTAACACAACAAGATAAACACCAAATTCATAGAAGTAGTTACTTCAACGGTGCTAATATATAAAAGAAAGATTGCAATAACGATATAATACAGGAAGAAAGAATTAGTTAGTAGAAAGAAAGATATGAAGCGACTTTAATCTCATACTTTAAGGGAAGACAGAGAGTGTATACACATACGCCATTGTGATCGATTCTGAGTCATGTCACCAAGAGTCTCCAACCACTGGTTACGAGTCACGCGGATCCAACCAAGTAGTCTGCATCTACCAACATGGCTCAGACTAGAAGTTAGTGACTTCAAACACTGATGCCACGTTTTGGTTTGGCCGCCCTTAATTTTCTTCCAACCATCCCGAACGCCGGTTAGCATTGAGCGTCGTGGTAATCGGTGTTCAGGCATACGTAACGCGTGACCCAACCATCTCAGTTGATGAAGATTAACAACCTCATCAACTGATTTACCATCATTCCCTAAGGTGTTTCCTTCAGACAACCAGCATGACAGCGATGCTGCCTTTCCATACGGAGCGGTGGGGTTAGAAAAGGTTGACCCTAAGAATGTCACACCTCACCTTATCTCACGGATTTCCGTCTCCGGCGGTAAGGTCCCAACAAGTACGGAGATAACACATTAAAAACCTTCCACGAAAAGGTCGTGCGCGACCGGCCTCAAGCAGTTGTCCCTTGGGCTCTGCGGTCACGCTTCCAGGTCGTCAAGACCAACACTAATCCAATTTCCTTTTCAGGTTTCTCAAGAAATACCCTACCACAGTGTGGGCAGCCGGGAAGTGATATCACCCCTCATACCCGTAACAGCACACGAGACCAAGTTGGTCACATTCAAATCCTTCCTACACCTCCTAATACCTCTCTTATCTCCATGACTAACCCTCCTCACGTCCCTTTATCATCTCGCACCGCTAGGGCAAACGATTCGAGTACGCGGAACGCTATTCCTGGTCTCCTGAAACCACGCTCTAAACTACACGTAGGAGCTTTTAACGTACGAACACTGTGCCAAATAGGACAACAGGCTTCCCTAGCTAGGACTTTAGAATCCCGCGCCATCGATGTGTGCTGAGTCTCCGAAACGCACATACAGGATTCAAGTAGCGTCATTCATCTGACCTCACCATGCCAAAATAAAGAACCGACTCGATTCACACTTCGTGTATCTGGAAGCCCTGATTCTGCTTCCCGTGGCCTCGCCGGCGTAGGTATAGCATTGAGTCCTAGGGCAGAAATAGCTCTCTTAGAGTGGATCCCAATAGACAGTCGTTTGTGCGCTATCCGACTAAACGGAACAGTAAGGATCCGAAAAGATAGGGACACTCGTCGTCTCTGCCTATTCTCCCAATGACTCCAGCGCAGATGATGTAAAAGATGAGTTTTACAGAAAGCTCTCCGACCTCCTCCTAAAAGCTAGGCGCTCGGATGTAGTAATAATGGCCGGTGACATTAATGCTCAAGTAGGTAAACTAAGCGATAGGGAAAGACACCTGGGTGGATCTTATAGCATCGCGGCTCAAAGAACAGATAACGGCGACCGTCTATTGCAGCTATGCTCAGATAACCGCCTGTTCCTTGCAAATACTAACTTTAAGCATTAGGAAAAACATCTTTTAACATAGCAACCCCCTAATTCGTCCCAACGTTGGAACCAAATAGATCACATCGCTATCAGCCACCAATGGAGTCAGTCAGTCAGTCAGTAACAACGTAGAACTTCGTACATATGTACATCAGTTCGAGTTGCCACACCACATTAGCACAGAGATGCAGTTGTCGATTCAAATCCCGTAGTGGTAGAGGTAGCAAGAGTATAAGCAGTAATCTGAAACATTAGGGTTTGGAGATGTTATTTAACGAGTATAATCCAGTGAAATAAATTTGGAAAGAGGAAAAAAGGGACATGAAGGATTCAGAAGATTAGAATTTGGGAGAACACAGAGAGTGGATGCACCTGCGCCATTGCAAACGATTTTGAGCCATGTCATTCAGGGTCTCTAACCATCGGTTGCCATCATCTCGCGGTCGAGCCTTCTGTATCCGTGGTGAGATTTCGTCACACACTAAACCACAAGGGCTGATGAGACTTCCAAGATAAGTGAAGCGGTCGACACACTCAACTACTTCACTCCCTATCACTAGTTCGGGTGTCGATGTAACCCAATCCTGAAGCAACATTTTGCATTTCGAGGGAGAGAATCGCATCCCGAACATGCTTGCATTGTTGCTTAGAGTGGTCAGAAGACTCTGCATTTTGTCAGCGTCTTCACCAAATAAAACTATGCCATCGGTATGTTCTAAGTCAACAAGTGAACCTCCCGGTAGAAGTTCAACCCCTGGAAATTTAGATGAGGAGAGTGTTATCTCTAAAAGTACGTCGACCACAAAGTTGAACAAGAATGGGGAGAGTGGACAGCCCTGACGAACACCACTTGAGGTAATCAATTCTGATGACAGTTCGCCATAAGCTCTCACTCTACCGGTTGTGTTCGAGTAGAGAGCCTGTATAAGGTTAATGTACTTCGTTGGTACTCCTTTCAGTGACAAACACTGCCATAGAACCTTACGATCAACAGAGTCGAATGCCGCCTTAAGGTCGAGAAATAATACGATTGTGGGGCGTCTGGACGTGTGTATGTGTTCTAGAACCTGACGTAGTGTGAATATCTGATCGATACAACCACGTCCAGGTCGAAAACCGGCCTGGTTTTCTCTAATCTGCTCTTCACGAGCTTTGTTAGGCGTCGAAGTATTATTGAAGCTAATATTTTAGACACTATATTAGTCAAACTGATTCCTCTGTGATTGTCACAAGAGGACTTTTGTCCTTTCTTGAAAACTGGCACAATCAGTGATTGAGACCAGTCAGATGGGATTACGTCCAGTTCCCAAATTCTACCTAAGACCTCAGTTAATCTCATTGCTAATACTGGACCACCATCCTTAAAAATCTCAGGAGTAAACCTGTCAGGGCCTGCTGCTCTCCCTCGTTTCAGATTTCCTATGGCTTTTTCAACTTCGTAAAGGGACGGAGGATCTACACTAACTTGCCATTCAGGTTGACTAGAGATCGTGGGAAACCGAAGTGTGGCTGAAAGCCAGTTGAACTGATCCCTAAAGTGTTCTGCCCATCGATCCAATCTCCTGGATTGAGAATGAATAATATG